TTATGTATAAATTTAATTCTATTGTTATGGTTATGAAACCTAAATCTAAATAATTTTACTTCCCAAGTAGGTTATCCGCAAATTTTTAGACCTATTTTCACTTGGTTTACATCTTGACCCAAAAAAACCTATGATGCATTTTTTTTTTTTATTTTGAACATTATGTCTCTTCTAATTTAACTACATGTAAAATTTAACTTTATTATTTTTGTCATTGCTTTCTCTTTGTATCTTCTTTCTATTTTTGTTTATATGTATAATATGTTTCAATACAAAAATGTCGATCTCATAAACATAAATAAAGTTTTGAAAGAAAAATATTTTTTATTGATATTTCAATTGTATAGATATGTATATACTTTTAATTTTGAGAATAATTGTTAATATGTTATAATTTTCTGTTTAGTTTTTATGATTTTTTGCAGTGAAAATTTTACTCAATGAATTAAACATAAAGACATCCTATAAAAATGATGTCTTTTAATCATTTAAATTCTATAAACTTTTATTTTACCGCATTATTATAATTAAATATATGTTAGGTTTTATATTATGTGGTTACGAATTTACAATTTCAAAATGACCTACAATTGTGAAACATGTATAACTAAATTAGGACTACATTAAGCTCTTATATGGTGGTTTTATAATGAAGACATAATATAATTTTATAATTTAAAATATCCAAAGTGGAAGGTTTTAAAAATTTAAAGAAATAGTCATTGAGGACAATTAATAGAAAATTTGACATTAATCATTAAGTTTTTTTTGTTTGATCTAATTATTAGTTGTATAGAGATGTGTAGAATTAGCACAACATTCTAAACAATTATCAACTTATTCAACATTCCCAATAATATTATTATCTATTATACACAATTCCAATAAGACTTTTAATTTTTAGACAATATTTATTGATTTTATCAAACATTAATGAGTAACATTTAATATAAAATGGGAGGGAAAATTTTTTTTTTTTCCAGCTGCTTCAGTTTAATATATATATAGATTAACTAAAAATTCCCCAAAATTTAGGGATAAATTAAATGCATTAGGGATTAAACAAAGCTTATTATTTTCTTGATAAGACATTATGAGTTTTGCCTAGGGCTTGTATTGATATATGGACCCAAATCAATTTTCATGGAAATCTACAAATTTGCTACTTGTAGTTATGTTATATTTTAACCATGTTTGTATGAATTATATATACTCAAAGGGGTAATAAGTAAGTTGAACTTAACTAGCTAGTGGGTTTGCTTAAGTTTCACTTGTTGAATGCATCTTGTGTAGGAGTTTGAGCTTTGATGAATCTAAATTAAATGGTTATGGGCAAGTTTTCCACTTGCCTATAAAATTCCTATTTCCCAAAGTTAATATTAAAAAAAAAAAAATTGTACTTTCTCCTTGATTTATTATATACTCATATGTTATGATATATCCATGGGGCAGATTAAAATATATATTGAGTATAAGATTAGTATTATATACACACATTTAGGATGGATAATCGAAAAGGCATATTGATTTGGAAAAACAACAGTGAACTGCATCATACATAAATAAATAAAGTCTCTAATACGTGCATTATTAATGTACCGAACTTCTTGAGCTCCCTAAGAGAATAATAAGAGTAATTCTGTCTGGGAGTAAAGCTAGCATCGAACCGAGGCGAACCAAACCAAAAAACATTGAACGTCTCTAATATGATCCAACAAGTACGAAGCACATAGTCTATTAAGTGTCCATTATCGTTAGATCTATCAAGTAACATTTTCATTTTTCACAATCAAACACTAGTTTCAGAATTACTGATCATTAACGAATTCAAATAAATAACACATCTGTTTTACGTGAAAGGGTCAACAATACATCGGTTAATTCGTCCAGAGCCCTCTACCCAAACTTTTCTGATGATTCGCCCAAAACAATATTGCTAACTTGTCCGACTGTCGTTCAACAATTTTTTGATATCAATCCACATAAAGTAATTTTAATGTGGCCAATTTCTCGTTATTTGCGAACAACTTCGCTATAGCACTTGTGGCCGTAACTATTGTCCAACCAATTCCTGCCGTGATGAATATGAGCGTGAACTCATGAAACATCAAATTAGTTACATAAAATCATTTATAAGACAAGTAATTAAAAAATACCAAATTTTCTAATTACTGAAATGGGAATGACTACAGTACGTCCTGTTACGGGACCATTCCGTCAATATATTCAACCGTAGACTATATGTTAAAAATTCCAACGAAATAGTATCATAACATGATTATAGTCTTCCCCTGCTTAAATAATACAACAATTAACTTTTCTCGATACATGTGTATTATTTTCTGTACATATAAAGTGTTGGGCTTTACTATAAATCCGACTATTGTCTCCACAGCAGAACCGTGAAACTTATTAAAACCCCAACTATATATATAAAACAAATTCTTCTAATTATAAAACTCCAAAACTAATGCAATACATCATCATCCAAATGAATCCAATTAAAATTTATGCAAAACACATGCCCCTTAATGAATCATGCATGCACAAT